GCGGACCCAGACCCGGCGGCTCCTGCCTGGCGGGTGAGCGCTGGGGCCTGGTGCAGACCTGCTGCTGCGGGAAGCCTGAGCTCTGCCTCACCACCCCAGGCACCGGGGAGAGCAGGCGTTTTTCCATCCCTGAGCATTGCTGGTCCCCGACTGAAGCCAGCCCTGTACTGTGTTGCCCACTAGCTTCTTGCCTCATGAGCTGAACAGTCAAACCGGACCCTGAGCAGGGCCCTGCGTGACGGGGGCACCCACGCCTGGGCACTCGATACTTGTGATTGTGATGAGGGCCTGGGTGGCGGGGACACCTGCGCCTGGGCACTCGATACTTGTGATTGTGATGAGGCTGCCTCGCAGGGCAGCGGCTCCCTACCCTCACGGCCCTCCATGTCACCTGTGCTCTAGGTAGGACGCTCATCCCTGCTGGTGGGGAATCTCAAGAAGAAGTATGCACAGGGGTTCTTGCCTGAGAAGCTCCCGCAGCAGGACCACACCACCACCACGGACTCGGAGATGGAGGAGCCCTATCTGCAGGGTAGGCGTCTGGGCCCACCTGATCCCGGCTGACTGGAAGGCCGGCCCTCCCCGCCCCCTCCCAGTAGCCGCGGAGGAGCTCTGCGCCAGCGCGTCTGCAGATGTCCCCGTCAGCTGAGCAGCTCCCACGGTCCCTCCTAGAAAACATGGATGGAGGAATCAGGGATCGGGAACCTTAGCGCTGCGCCCCCAGCCACAGGCTCCCAAGAGTGGCTTTTCCTGTGGTTCACGGGCGAGTTAGGAGTGGACGTAGGAGCAGCCAGTGACCAGGCCAGTCACACTGTCTTCTGGGGCCGGGCGGCGGCCTGGCAAGGACTGCACGTCGCATTAGAACTACTGACTGTCGGGGCCGTGCACATCACAGGATGGAGGCTCTTGCTTCTGTCAGCTGGTCAGTGGCCAGCTAGGTGGACCCCAGAAAGTGGGGCCCCTCCAGGTCAGGAGCGGCCCTCGGCATGCTCTGAGAGCCTCGTGCCCTCTCGTGGCCACCAGGCGGCGCTGACCCATTCCCACCAGTGCTCTGCCTCAGGCTCATGGCACTTGGAAGAGAAACCATTGCATATGCAGGGGACGGAGACGTCACCAGGCCCCCAGTCGGGGTGGGGGGTGCACAGGCCTGCTACAAACGGTGATGGAAACCCTGCCCTGAGGCTCGGCTGCGGGAACACGAGGAAGGGGCAGGCGGGACAGGCACCGGCATGGCTGGGCACAGCGTGGGGCGGCTCACCCTAACCCGTCTCCATGCTTTGCAGAATCCAAAGAAGAGGGCACTCCCCTCAAACTCAAGTGTGAGCTCTGTGGCCGGGTGGACTTTGCCTACAAGTTTAAGCGATCCAAGCGCTTCTGTTCCATGGCGTGTGCAAAGAGGTGAGTGGCCGACCCTTCCCCTCACCTCAGGACGTGGCCTTTGTATCCTGCTTTCCAATCCTACTTCCTGCCACTCGTAGTCCACCCCAGGAGGCCACAGTATGGCTCATCCGCCTTCCTGTACCCTGACCGGCCTGGAGGCAGCCTTGCATCCCTGGTCCACCAAGCACGGGAAGCCAGAACCCCTGAGAACAGATCAGAGAGCAGCAGGGTCCACGGGACGGAAGCGCGTCCGAGCCCATTCGCTTGTCCTCCCCCAGGGCCGTGGCTCCTCAGGCTGCACCGTCCCCAGAAGCTTTGCCCAGAACGTGGCACTAGTCACAGCGCTCCCTTCACGAGCTGTTGTCCAGCTTAGAAGACGTGAGTGCCACGCACAGGCCACTGTCATTTGTGGAACCTGCTGGGCATCAGCTCACCTGCGAGTGACCTGCCAGGCCCGAGCTGTTGTCCAGCTTAGAAGACGTGAGTGCCACGTACAGGCCACTGTCATTTGTGGAACCTGCTGGGCTAGCCCACCGCTGGGCATCAGCTCACCCTGCGAGTGACTGGCCAGGCCCGTGTTGCTGCCACCCTTCATACACGTTGGGAAGCTGGGCACTGGCTGAGCCTAGTCACACAGCTAGTCACTCGCAGGCGTTGGGACTCCAGGCTCTAAGCACTGTCCAGTGTCTGTGCCGAGGTAGGAGGGGCGGCCAGTCTCAAATCCCTGAGCCTCTAAAGAGAAGCGACCTTGGTCCAGGCAGAGGCCTTGTATGCCAAGCTAAAGTTGAATGTTCTCAGCCCTCGCTCCCTCAGGTGGGTGGGGCTCCTTGGTCCGGCTTTGCCAGCGACGCTGCAGCGCAGTTTTCCTGCACGAGAGCATTCATAGAGCGCCAGCTGTGTACTCTGGCCATGCTCCAAGTCGCAGCAAACATTTTACAGGCATCATGTCGCTGAGACCAGTTTTAGAAAGTGAGTGGTGTGGAGCTAGCAGGTAGCATGGTGGTTAAGGCTCTGGACTTTCCTGTGGCCAAGTGGTGTTTGAGCCCCAGCCCAGCGGCTTGAAAAACACCGGGCACGTGTGCGTGCATGCCCCAAATCCCAAAAGAGGACTGGAGGAGGAATGCAGGGTGGCCATCCCCTCGGCGGTGATTTCTCGCTCTCCTTCTCTGTCTCTCTCTGGTGAACGTATGTGTCCTATGGCAAAAGCCTTCAAATCACAAAGGAAAGAGGTGAAGTGAGTAGCATCACCCCAACTCCAGACAAGGAAACGGAGGCTCAGAGCGCACGTGGCTTGCCCAAAGGCACACAGCTAGGAGTAGGCCATGTGTTAGCACGACCCTCCCCTATGTCTGTTGCCTTTTTTTTTTTTTTTGAGAGGTTTTCACTATAGGGAGCGTGCACTCGCCAGACAGACAGAGACAGAGAGACAGAAAGCGAGAAATCACCCCCCAGGGGGGATGGTCATGCCACAATCCCTTCTCCTCCATTCTCCTCTCGGGATCTTGGGCACGCACGCACACGCGCCCGGTGTGAGTTTTAAGCCACTGGGTCCTGGACGCGAACCACAGTCGGCTACGTGGGAGTCCAGCGACATAGCCATTACACTAACTGCTGGTTTCCCCCTATGTCTGCTTCTGACAGGTACAACGTGGGATGCACCAAAAGGGTGGGGCTCTTCCACTCGGACCGGAGCAAGCTGCAGAAGGCAGGAACTGCGACCCACAACCGCCGGAGGGCCAGCAAACCCAGTCTGCCACCACTCTCCAAGGACACCAAGAAGCAGGTGAGAGGCCAGGGCCAGCAAAGCCTGGTGCTTCAGACCCACCTGGCCCCCAGCTTCTCTTCCCTCGTGACCCAGACTTCCTTCGGGCTGCCAACCTCAGTGTGCCTTCTGGTGCCCACGTTTCTCTGAGATCTGTCAGATCAAGCCTGCCCCTGTCCCTTGCGGGTCCCTTCATTAGGACCCACAAGTGTTTACTCTCTTCAGTGGCCTGCCTGACCTCACCCCTCACCTTCCAGTTTGCCGCCACCCATGCCTTCTGGGCACAGAATTGGGGGGTCCCGACTGTCCCTGGGAGGAGAGGCCGTGCAGACGCCCCTATCTCACTCAGAGGCCGGGCTGAGAGGGCTTCCCCGCTCCAAGGCCACCTTTTTGCGTCCGAGAACCTGAAAGGGCCGAGTCCTTGCAGGTCCTTGCATTGGTCACAGACGTTTAGGCACCGGCTGTGTGCCAGCGTCTCACAAGGCTCCACAGTACAGGCCCGCCCAAGGAACGTGGGCCGTCTGACCCCACAGCCCTGATGTGTATTTGCTGCTTGTTGTTCTTGTCTTAACCCTGAATATTCTGACGAAAGCTGTGGTCAGAATGTACACACGGGACACGCTGTTTTGAGTGGCTCTTAGACCACCTCCTGGAACCCACAGAGGCCTGAGGGAGCCCACACCTAGCAGACAGACACACACGAGAGCCCACAGGGGCCTGGTGGAGCCCACACACGGGAACCCACAGGGGCCTGGTGGAGCCCACACCCAGCAGACACACACGAGAACCCACAGGGGCCTGGTCGAGCCCACACCCC